GGACCCGCTGGGATCATGGGGGGGGGGGGGGGCGGTATTCTGACCTGGGACCACCCCCCCCACCACAGGTGGGACCTCCCCCGGGACTCTGCTGGCGACCCGCTCGGATGGGGGTGTCTCCTTGTCCCCCTGTCCGCAGAGGGACCCCCCTGGGACCCGCCAGGACACCCGGGGGCGAGGGGGGCGATAATCTGACCAATTTGACCTGGGACCCCCACCTACCCCCCCATCCCCTCCCCCCCGCCCTATCACTGTTCAGTCGGAGGTTGGGGGGTGAGATCGAAGTGGAACGGAGAGCCCCCCTACCGGGAAATCGATTTCGGTTTCGTGTTCGTGCGTGCCGTGCGGGCGAGGCGAAGCTGCGTGGGCGGGCGAGAGAAAGTCTCCTGTGGCTGAGGCGCGGCCGGACCAAATGTCTCCCTGCCAGGCGGCCGGTGGCCCGCGGTGTCCCGCCGGTGTCCCGCTGGTGTCCCGTGTGGCTGGGGCGCGGCCGGAACAAATGTCTCCCTTCCGGGCGGCCGGTGGCCCGCGGTGTCCCGCCGGTGTCCCGCTGGTGTCCCGTGTGGCTGAGGCGCGGCCGGACGAAATGATTCTTTTCCGGGCGGCCGGGGCGGCGCGGTGTCCCGCTGGTGTTCCGCCGGTGTCCCGTCCGTGTCCCGTCGGTGTCCCGATGATGATGTTGATGATGATTATGATAATGATTATGATGATGATGGTGATGATGATGATGATGATGATGGTGGTGATAATGATGATGATGTTGATGATGGCGATGATGATGATGATGATGATGATGATGATGATGATGATGATGATGATGATGATGATGATGATGATGATGATGATGTGATGATGATGATGATGATGATGACGTCGATTGCGAGATCGATTGTGATATCGGTAGTGAGACCGAATGTGAGATCGATTGTGCGATGCTGATGGTGATGATGGCCTTCATGGTGTTGATGTTTGTGATTATGATGACGACAACATTCTCCACTGGCATTGTCACAACAACATTCACCACTGTTGCCCATTGCTGGGCCCCTCCCCCCCCAACCTCCTTATCACCCGCAGGGTGGTCGTATAGGTATTTCTATACACCCCCTCCCCCAGGCGACCGGCAGCCACCCGGGAACAATGATGGCCACCCCCCACCATCCCCGTCCAAAAACAATACAAAACGCACTCTGCCTCCACATTTGGAGCATGCGCGGTCAAACCGATGCGGCACCCCCCCACCATCACTGTCAAAAAACAATACACTTGGGGCAAAGTCTGGAGTCATGTTCGTCAGGCCCGCGAGCACTTTGTATTGTTTTTTGATCAGGACAGCGGGGGTTTCAGCATATTGCCTGCTGCGCTCAGGGCCACAATACAACAGTACAACATGCACCTCGCGGCTAAATCTTGATCATGCGCGGCCGCCCCGCGATCATTGTCAAGTGGTGGCGTATAGCCTGCTGTGCGCAGGCCCACCAGACACAATGATGGGCATTGGTTTTCGACGTGGATGGTGGGGGCCGATATGTTTTCCGATGTGTGCTGTCACGTGCGCAGGCGTTCCTGACACCCTCTGCACGTGCCCCGAACGTGGCGCACCTGGCGCGGTTGGAGTATGCGGCACACCTGGCGCATGCGGAGGCACGTGGCGCATTTGGCACACCAGGCGTGCCTGGCACGCTGGGGCCCCAGGGGTGCCTGGCGCGCGTGGCACGCCTGGCACGCGTGGCGCACCTTGCCCCAGCGTCGCGCACACGTCCATCCAAAGACGACCGCTGAACATGCTGAGGCTGGCGTGTTACCTATGTGTTTGGAGGGCGGTTGGGAGTGAGCTAGACGGCTTGCGGGCGGGTGGGTAGCTTGACCCCCCCCTACCCCCCCCTCTACCCTCCCCCCGGTTAGGGAGGGGAAACACGGGAGGGAGTCGACTGAATTTCAACGTTTCTTTTCTTTGTTCGTTCTTTCATCTCTTGGGACTGGCCACGACGACGAAGGCGATAACGACGAAGACGACGAAGACGACGACAGCGTCTCACACGCGTCGAAGGGTCGGCGGATTCGGATGAACCGCTGACCATGATGATGCCGATTATGATGCTGATGATGATAACGATGATGATGCTGCTAATGATGATGATGACGATGATGATGATGATGATGATGGTCGTGATGATGATGATGATGATGATGTTGATGACGATGACGGTGATGATGACGATGACGATGATGATGACGATAACGATGACGATGACGACGACGATACTGATGATGATGATGATTATGATGATGATTAGTATGGGCATGATGAGGATGTTGATGATGATGATGATACTGCTGAGGATGATGATGAGGATGGTACGACGGTGTTGATGATACTGATGATGATGATGATGATGATGGTGATGCTGGTGATAATGCGGATGGTCAAGGTGATTGTCATGGTGGCGATGATGATGATGGTGCTGATGATGGTGCTGATGATGATGATGATAACACTGACGGTGATGTTCATGGTGATGATGATGATGATGATGATGACGGTTATGATGATGATGTTGATGTTGGTGTTGATGATGATGATGATGATGATGATGATGATGATGATGGTGATGTTGCTGCTGATGGTGATGATGATGATGGGGATGGGGATGGGGATGATGATGAGGATGTGGTGGTGGTAAGGTTCATGGTGATGAGGATGATGATGATGCTTATGCTGTTAATGGCGTTGGTGACGATGATGATGATGATGATGATGATGATGATGCTGATGCTGCTGATGATGATGATGATGATGCTGACGCTGATGATGATGATGATGATGATGATGATGATGATGATGATGATGATGATGATGATGATGATGATGATGATGAGGCTGATGATGATGCTGATGATGATGCTGATGATGATGCTGATGCTGATAATGGTGGTGGTAGTGGTGATGCTGATGCTGATGTTGATGTTTATGATGCGGATGCTGCTGATGATGATGGTCGTGAGGATGAGGATGACGAGAAGGATGAGGATGAGGATGGCACCATACTGTTTTACAGGTGCTGAGCGTTTGGCGCTCCGCCGCCCCCGCGGAGCTCCTGCAGGGCCGTTTTACGGGACGCTTCTGGCGTCCGTCCGTCCGCGCGTCCGTCCGCCCACGTAGTCCGAACGAGAAAACCAGACATCAGCACAGACTTTCGGAGACCCGCGCGGACCTTCTGGATCTACGCTGGGTCCCCCTGGCGGCGCCTCTGGCGCCGCCCCTAGAGCGGTCCGCGCGCTAGGGAGGCGGGGGTGGGGGGATGGGGGGATCAGCGCCGATCCGAGAAGTCCATGCGGACCGCGCAGGCGGGCCCCCGCAGGCACCCCTCGCCCAGGGCCGCGCTGCGGGGCCCCTCGGGCAGGCGCCGCTCCGTGCCTGCCACCTCTGCGCCTGCGGCGCACACGGGCCGCGGCGCCTGGGCGGCTTGTCAGCACTCGCTCGGAGGAGTCGTGGAGCCACCGCCGCCCCGCGGAGGTCGGCTGCTCGCGGCAGGGCTGCAGAGCACCTTCTCGAGCTCAGCATCGCTGGGCCCTGGGCCAACGGGCAGCCACCGACCTGCCCTGGGGCGGGTGCAGAGCACGGTCGCCGCGCGGACCACGGTCCAGTGCCCCCAGGCTGTCGCCTCCGCACTGCCAGCCGCGCCCCGGCTGCCAGCACGGGTCGCCGTTCGGGCGCGCGCAGATTGCCTGCGCCGCCTCGCCGCAGAGTGCCGCGCTCGGCTGTCAGCGGCACGCAGGCCGTCCTCTGGCCGCACGGCAGCGCCCCGCCCGAGCTGCGGCATGGCCCCCATCGGGGACCTGCTCGGCCAGGCGTGGCCCCTCCAGGGTGCAGGGCGTCGATCCTCTGCCCGCGCGGGAGCGGTGATCGATGGTGGCCTCTGCGCGGTCGGCGCCCTGCGGGATGGCCGCGTCTCACCATCTGCGCCGCAGGGTGACGGTCGGTCTCCGACGGCCGGGCGTGCTGGCCGCAGTTGTCCCGCGCCTCTCCGCCCAGCCGCGGGGGCCGCGCCGCCCACGCCGACGGGCTCGGGCTCTCGGGCGTCCGAGGCGCCCGCGCCCGTCGCCCTCTGGGGGCCTGGAAGCGGGGCTGCGCTGGCTCTGGACCGCGGCCGCCCCTTCAGACGTTCCTGCTGCACGTCGTTGCCGTGCGCGCCGAGCCACTGGTCTCCGTGCTCCCTGTGCGTCGAGCTCTGCGTCGGGTCTGTTTGCGGTCCCCGCCGCCGAGCTGCTGGGCCCCGCCGCCCGGCTGCGCGGACTTTGGCGCGTAAGTTGCGCACGCACAGGTCGCGCGTAAGCGCCCTCGCTTCCAGTCAAGCGTGCTGCGTTGGTGGCCCGCACAAACCACCGCGTAAGGTCGCTATGCAAGGGGCGAGCACAATGCTGTTTAGCCTGGTTTGGGCCCTCGTTTTTCGATTTGTTTTTTGTTGCTGGTTCCGTTGTGTGGTTTCGTTTTCGTTGTAAACGCGTAAGCTCTCCTAGTTCTCTTTCATCCTCGGCTTCTCAACGGGCCCGCGGGCCGGAGAGGCCCATGGGGGGCCGAACACAGACATCAGAGACCTCACGTCGCGATTTCTTGTCATGACGGGAGGAGGTGGGGGGACGAGGACATGCCCCCCCGCGCCGAGGGGGCGCCGTGCCAGCGCTTTCGTCGCCCTCGGCCTCGACGCTTCGCCCGCGGCTTTGGAGGACGACCAGAGCTGTTCTCGACTACACGCAAGAGTGGCCCCCCGCCGGAGTGACCTTTGGTGTGGGCCACTGGGGCCTCCCGATCGCCGAACGCGATGCGATACCAGCGTCTTGCGCGCTTGGGTTTGGCCCCCCGCGGCTCCCCGAAAGCCGCGCTCCAAAGGTCACTCTTGCGGTCACCCTTGCCTGAGGTCATTGTTGCGTGTAGTCGATGTTCGGCCGCGGGGCAGCGTAGCCAAGCGAATCAGGGTACAGCTCCCCCGAACGCCCAGGACGGCGCGGCCGGGCAGGGCGGCCCCGCGGAGCCAGGCTTCGAGGTCGCGCTGCTCGAGCAGCAGCGCTCCATCGGCGCCGCCGCCCTCCGCGACTTTCGCGTTGCCGCCGCCCTCGACGTCCTCCTTCTCCTCCTCCTCCTCCTCGTCCTCCTTCCTCCTCCTCCTCCTCCTCCTCCTCGTCTTCCCCTCTTCTTCCTCCTCCTCCTCCTCCTCCTCCTCCTCCTCCTCCTCCTCCTCCTCCCCCTCCTCCATTCCTTTTCCTTATACATGAATTCTCCCTGCCGCACCCCGAGGCCAGTTTTGGGGCGCGTTTCGCTTGAGACTTCCTCGACATTTACGATTCTGATGCTTCAAAAGTGGCAACAGTTTTACATATGGAGGGCGGGCGAGTTTCAAAATGTGGCTCTCGCCTAAGCGCCACGCGCATTCTTTGTAAATATTTGCAACAATTTCACGGATTGAGGGCGGGTGGTTTTCAAAATGTGGCTCTCGCCTCAGCGCCGCGCGCATTCCTTTCAAAGTTTGCAAGAGTTTCACGGATTGAGGGCGGGTGGTTTTCAAAATGTGGTTCTCCCGTTAGCGCCGCGCACATTCGTTTTCAACAATTGCAAGAGCTTCACGGATTGAGGGTGGCTCCTTTTCAAAATGTGGCTCTCGCGTCAGCGCCGCGCACATTCGTTTTACACAATAGGAAGAGCTTCACGGATTGAGGGCGACTCGTTGTCAAAATGTGGTTATCGCTTTAGCGCCGCGCACATTCGTTTTCAAAAACTGCAGGAGTATCACGGATTGAGTGAGGGTGGGTCGTTGTCAAAATGTGGTTCTCGCTTTAGCGCGTGCACTCTCGTTTTCAAATTTTGGAGGAATTCACAGATTCCCATGATCAACATACCAGAAATGGTGTTTTGCAAGGATTCAGGATTATGCAGGTGCAACAGTTCTGTTGATTCGCAGCGTTGAAGTCTCAAAGATGGCGTTTTGGCACGATTCCGGATCGTCAAGACGCAGAAGTCAGGTTGATCCGTGGCGTTGAAATCCCGAGAACAATGTTTTTGCATGCTTCAGGGTCTTCAAACGGTCGTCTTCCAACGAGGCAGTTCTTTTAATGGAAATGAGCCGTTGTAGGGGCTTGTGAAGAGGGAGCTTTGAGGGAGGGTTGATCCCAACATCGTTGATGACTCTTGGGTTTACACTGGTCCTCCTCCTCCTCCTCCTCCTCGTCCTCCTGCGATCCAGGCAGCAAAGATCGTGTGGGATCCGCCTCTGGAGGCCCCTCTCCTGCCCCAGGACGGCCAAACCACGATTCGGGACGAGAGTCTGGCCCCCGGGGAAGTGGTCGAAGTTGAGTAGGGCCGAGGGTCAGATAGCGCTCTCCTCTGCAGGACTACCAAAAAAGTGACGTCAAGGAGGTCAATCGCCTCGCCCGTTAAGCAGGCGAAGATGTGCAACATCCAATCATTCGCTTATGTCCGCGGTATTGGCTTGACGGCGGGTGTGGTGCATCAATTTCAGCTTGACCGAACAGGATGGTTGCGCTCCTTGACCTTCGTTTGGGGTGTTCTGCAGACCTGATCCCCCCTGGTCGAAGCCCCGGGGGTCGACGCCACGAGAAAGTCGCAACGTCGGATGAGACGGGTGGTCGTCGTCGTCGTCGTCGTCGCCGCTGCAGCCGCCGTCGTCGCCGCCGTCGTCGTCGTCGTCGTCGTCGTCGTCGTCGTCGTCGTCGTCGTCGTCGTCGTCGTCACCGCCGTCGTTGACTTCGTCGCCGCCGTGGTCGCCGACGTTGGCTGCGTCGCCGCCGTGGTCGCCGTCGGGCGGCGCACGGCCCTTCAGGCGGCGGCGTGTTCGCCTGCGACGGCAGCGCCGTCTACAGCGGCAAGGAGGCGCCTCCGGCTCGGCGGCAGGGGAGCAGCCTCGTGTCGTCACGCGGTGCGGTGACACACCGTTTGGTGGCGTCAGTGGGGATGCGGGGTGACCTCGCAGTTTTGGGACGTGGGTCGCTCTCCAAGGTGTCTCGGGCGGCTGGGGCTTCCGTGACCTCAGAGCCGTGCGGTGACCGACCGTGCGATGAGGTCTGTGGAGACTGCGAGGTCACCGCACGGTCTCTCCGCGATTGTGTTCTCAATCCCGGCGTCGTTTTTCGACATCGGCCTATGGCGAGAGCGTCGCGAGATCGGCAAGAGCGACTCGGAGGTGGGAGATGATCGCTGCGGAGAACCCGTTCTCCGACGACATGTGTTGTTCTACCCTGGCGTTTGTTCCTCGATTTCGGCCTCCGGGGTCCGTTGACGGGTCCCCAGGGTCCAGCAAAGATGGACCCAGGGCGAAAACCTACCCCCGAGGGGTAGTGTTTCGCTTGAGAAGGCAATCAGGCAAAGGACGTTTCGAAATACACCTGTTTGTAATGTCTTAGTTTGTCCCAACCATCCTGTGATGTTGGGTCCTTGTTTTGAAGAGACAGTCCCCGCGTCCTTTTTCTCCTTCTCCTCCTCCCCATCCTCCGTCATCCCCCTCCTTGCCTCTGCCCTCCTCGTCGCCATCGCAATCGACATCGCAATCATCATCATCACCATCAGCATCATCATCATCATCAGCAGCAGCAGCAGCATCATCACATTCGTCGCCATCACCATCTTCATCGTCATCGTCAGCATCAGCATCATCATCATCATCATCACCACCATCATCATCATCATCATCATCATCATCATCATCATCATCATCAGCATCACCATCGTCGTCATCATCATCATCGTCATCATCATCAACAATCATCACCATCGTCGTCATCATCATCATCATCATCATCATCATCATCATCATCATCATCATCATCATCATCATCATCACACCCCTCGCACACAGCCCTCACACGTTTCGGGCCCCAAGGGGAGCACCACCGAAGGCCCCATCGGCAGGGCCAGCATGGCGCACCCGCGCCCGATTCGGCACACTTCTCTCACGACTCGTGGCCCCAGAGGGACCACCACCGAAGGTCCCAGCGGCAGGGACTGCCTGGCGCACCAGCACCCTGTTCGGCACTCCCCTCACACGCTTCGTGGCCCCGTAGGGCTTTCTACCGAAGCCCCCAGCGGCAGGGCTCACACGGCGTATCCGCACCCGATTCGGCACACCCTTCACGCGCTCCGTGGCCCCATAGGGAGCTCCACCGAAGGGCACAGCGGCAGGGCCCGCATGGCGTACCCGAGCCCTAGTTACTCGGCACACCTCTCAACACGTTTCGTGGCCCCATAGGAAATTCCACCGAAGGCCCCAGCGGCATTTCCTGCATGGCGCGCCCGCGCCCGACTGTGCACACCCCTCAAACGTTTCGTGGCCCGATAGGGAGCTCCACCGAAGGCTCCAACGGCAGGGCCCGCATGGCGTATACCCGCACCCGATTCGGCACACCCCTCACACGCTCCGTGGCCCCAGAGGGAGCTCCACCGAAGGCCCCAGCGGCAGGGCCCGCATGGCGTACCCGCACTCGATTCCAGGGCTCGACCTAAACGGTGTTTTCCTACTTTTTCCCATCTGTTTCCGTTTTACTGTTGTTTTTCGTTGTGAACGCGTTTCAAAACACGTTTTCACATGCTCTGAGCGCCGGCCGTCGCGCCCATGCGTTTTGGCCACCAGGCTGCCGTTTTGTTGGTCGTTCTGTTCTGGCACAGGCGCGCGCCGCACGTTTTGTTGGGCGTCCTGTTTTCTCGTGGGCAGGCGCCGCTTGTTTTGTTGGCGTTTTGCTTTGCTGGGGGGTCCCCCCACCAGCACCACCACCACTGGTCGTAAACAGCTTGTCTGTATAGTTGTACATACACATGTGCTATATCGTGGAGCTGTCTTGGACGCCTCTTGGGCCGTCTTGAGCGGCCCGAAACCCGAACAGGCGGAAACTTCGCAATCTTTCAGAACTTTCAGGTCAAGCACTGTTTGCTGCCTCCCCGGGCACTCATCGAGGGTCTCTTGGAGCTCTCTTCGGCCGTCTTGGGTTGTCTTGGGGGCTTCTTGGGCCGTCTTGAGGCCGTCTTGGGGGCCTCTTGAGCCGTCATGGGCCATCTTGGTGTCGTCTTGGCTGTCTTGGGAACCGTCTTGGAGGCCACCTTTGCGCTGGAGGCCGAACCTTCTACAGCACAACCGTCCGCCCAACCTCCTCCATCACAATCTCCAGCACAACCTCCAGCACAACCTCCAGCACGATCTCCAGCACAACCTCCAGCACAACCTTCAGCACAACCTCCAGCACAACCTCCAGCACAACCTCCAGCAAAACCTCCAGCAAAACCTCCAACACAACTCCAGCACAACCTCCATCATAACCTCCAGCACAATCTCCAGCACAACCTCCACAATCGCCAGCACAATCTCCAGCACAACCTCCCGCAAAACCTCCAGCACAATCACAACCTCCAGCACAACCTCCAGCACAACCTCCAGCACAACCTCCAGCACAACCTCCAGCACAACCTCCAGCACAACCTCCAGCACAACCTCCAGCACAATCTCCATCACAACCTCCAGCACAACCTCCATCACAACTTCCAACACAACCTCCAGCGCAATCTCCAGCACGACCTCCAGCACACCCTCCAGCACAACCTCCAGCACAACCTCCAGCACAACCTCCTGCACGACCTCCAGCACAACCTCCAGCACAACCTCCAGCACAACCTCCAGCACAAACTCCATCACAACCTCCAGCACAACCTCCAGCACGACTTCCAGCACAACCTCCAGCAGAACCTCCAGCACAACCTCCAGCACAACCTCCAGCAAAGCCTCCCGCACAACCTCAAGCACAACCTCCCGCACAACCTCCAGCACAACCTCCAGCACAACCTCCAGCACAACCTCCAGCGCAATCTCCATCACAACCTCCAGCACAACCTCCTGTAAAATCACAACCTCCAGCACAACCTCCAACACAACCCAGCACAACCTCCGCACAACCTCCCGCACAACCTCCAGCACAACCCAGCACAACCTCCAGCACAACCTCCAGCACAACCTCCAGCACAACCTCCAGCACAACCTCCAGCACAACCTCCAGCACAACCTCCAGCACAACCTCCAGCACAACCTCCAGCACAACCTCCAGCACAACCTCCAGCACAACCTCCAGCACAACCTCCTCCAGCACAACCTCCAGCGCAACCTCCAGCACAACCTCCAGCACAACCTCCAGCACAACCTCCAGCACAACTCCATCACAACCTCCAGCACAACCTCCAGCACAACTTCCAGCACAACCTCACAACCTCCAGCACAACCTCCAGCACAACCTCCAGCACAACCTCCAGCACACACCTCCAGCACAGCCTCCAGCACAACCTCCAGCACACAACCTCCAGCACAACCTCCAGCACAACCTCCAGCACAACCTCCAGCACAACCTCCAGCACAACCTCCAGCACAAACCTCCAGCGCAATCTCCATCACAACCTCCAGCACAACCTCCTGTAAAATCACAACCTCCAGCACAACCTCCAACACAACCTCCAGCACAACCTCCAGCACAACCTCCCGCACAACCTCCCGCACAACCTCCAGCACAACCTCCCGCACAACCCCCCGCACAACCTCCAGCACAACCTCCAGCACAACCTCCAGCACAACCTCCAGCACAACCTCCACCACAACCTCTAGCACAACCTCTAGCACATCCTCCAGCACATCCTCCAGCACAACCTCCAGCACAACCTTCCGCACAACCTTCAGCACAACCTCCAGCACAACCTCATGCGCAACCGCCAGCACAACCTCCAGCACAACCTCCAGCAAAGCCTCCAGCACAATCACAACCTCCAGCACAACCTCCAGCACAACCTCCTGCACAACCTCCAGCACAACCTCCAGCACAACCTCCATCACAACCTCCAGCACAACTTCCATCACAACCTCCAGCACAACCTCCTCCAGCACAACCTCCAGCACAACCTCCATCATAACCTCCAGCACAACCTCCAGCACAACCTCCAGCACAACTTCCAGCACGATCTCCAGCACAACCTCCAGCACGACCTCCAGCACAACCTCCAGCACAACCTCCAGCGCAACCTCCAACACTACCTCCATCACAGCCTCCAGCACAACCTCCAGCACAACCTCCAGCACAACCTCCGGACTCTAATTTGGCCCTCTCTAGGGGTTGTGCTGGTCGGTTGTGCCGGGGGGGGTTGCTGGGGGGATGTGCTGGGGGTGTGTGCCGGGGGTTGTGCGGGGGGTTGTGCTGGGGGGTCGTGCGGGGGGTTGTGCCAGGGGGTTGTGCCAGGGGGTTTTGCTGGGAGTTGTGCTGGAGGGTTGTGCTGGGGGGTTGTACTGGGGGATTGTGCTGGGGGGTTGCGCTGGGAGGTTGTGCTGGGGGGTTGTGCTGGGGGGGTTGTGCCAGGGGGTTGTGCCAGGGGGTTGTGCTGGGGGGTTGGGCTGGGGGGTCGTGCTGGGAGGGGGGGGGTTGTGCTCGGGAGGTTGTGCTGAGGAGTTGTGCTGGGGGGGGGGGGGGTGTGCTTGGGGTTTGTGCTGGGTGTTTGCGCTGGAGGTTTGTGTTGGGGGTAGTGCTGGGGGTGTGTGCTGGCGGATTTTGCGGAGGGGGGTTGTGCGGAGGGGGGTTGTGTTGGGGGTCGTGCTGTGCGAGTGTGTGTGTTGGGGGGTTGTGCTGGGATCTCAACCTAAATCGTCACTCGCTCCCTCGCGGATTAAATCTTTATCTAGATCACCGCCTAAATTGTTACTCGCGCTCTCGCTGCTCAAACCTTCCCTTGACTCGTCGTCGTCGTCGTTGTTCCTTGGCGCTCGCTCGTTTAGTTTTTTTCCGTTTTGTTGGTGGCCCGCGGCCGTGCCATTTTTCTGTTATGCGTTTCGTTTTCGGCTGCTCGGGGGCCGCTGTTTTGTTCACCCGCTGTTTTGTTCCAGAACGGCCCTCGCGACGCCGGCCGGCGTTTTCGCTCAAACTTCGTTTTCAAACGAAAACGAAACGTGAACAGAAAACACTGTTCAGGTCGAGCCCTGCTCGATTCGGCATATTCCTTACACCTTGCGTGGCCCCATAGGGAGCTCAGCTCCACCGAAGGCCCCAGCGGCCTGCCCGATTCAGCACACCCCTCCCACGTTTCGTGGCCCCATACGGAGCTCCACCCGTCACACGCGATTCGGCACCAGGGAGCTAGCACGCGATCCGGCACATCCCTCACACGTTTCGTGGCCCCGCAGGGAGCTAGCGCGCGATCTGGCCCACCCCCCCACACGTTTCGTGGCCCCACAGGGAGCACCACAGCAGGCCCCAGCGGCAGGGTCCGCATGGCGTACCCGCATCGGATTCGGCACACCCCTCACACGTTGTGTGGCCCCAGAGGGAGCTCCACCGAAGGCCCCAGCGGCAGGGTCCGCAGGGCGCACCCGCCCCACATCGGCACACCCCTCACTCTTTCCCCCTTGCTTCTTCTCATTTGCCTCGCGGTACCCGCAGCTTCATTCGCTTGGGCCTTTCGCCAAGATAGTTTGAGTGCGTATGTTTGATCGCCTGTCCCACTAGAGCGTGCGTGCGGATCTCCTCTGCCGCGCTGCGACGGGAACAAGCGTTTGTGTGTGTGTGTTTCCGGTTCCTGTCTTTGGAACAGCCGAAGGATTGTTTCTTTATAGCTCTGATAGCGTGTGTTTCTCCATTTCGGTTTCCAGGCTATTGTCTGGCATTGTTTGGCGCTGCTGGGGATTGCTTGGCGTTTTTTGGTATTGCTTGGCACTGCGTCGCATTGCTTGCCATTGCGTGAAATTCCTCTGCGTTGCTTGACATTACTTGGCGTTGCTTGGCATTGCTATGTGTTGCTTGGCGTTGCTAGGAAATTATTGGCATTGCTTGACATTTCTTGGCGATGCGTGGCATTGCTTTTTACACTGCTTGGCATGGCCTGGCGGTGCCTGACATTGGTACTGCTTGGTGTTGATTAGCACTGCTTGGCATTGCTTGTCGCTGCTTGGTTTTGCTTGGCTTTGCTTGGCGGTGCATGGCATTGCCCGGCATTGTGTTGCAGTGCTTGGCATTGCGTGGCAAGTCATTATGTTTCACTGCTTGGCGTTGCATGTCATTGCTTGGCGCTGTTTGGCTTTTGTTGCCATTGCTTTGCGTTGCCTGGCATTGCTTGGCATTGTCTGCAATGCTCGGCTGTGCTCTCAGCGGCAGGGTCCGCGGGGCGTGCCCGCGCCCTATGCGGCACACTTCTCTCACACGTTTCGTGGCCCCGCAGGGAGCTCCACCGAAGGCCCCGGCGACAGGGCCCGCACGGCGTGCCCGCGCCCGACGCCGCGCACCCCTCACGCTTCTTGGCTGGGAGCGGCGGACGGCCCAGGCAGTTTGTGTTTTCCCTGCTCGCAGCGCCAGCGAAGTCGCGCAGCGCGGTCGGGGCGGCAGGCCGGCGCACGGAGGCGTAAAGCTGCAGCGACGGAGGTGCGGGCACGGGAGGGCGCGGCGGCAGAGAAGGGTTGAGGCAGGATCGTCCACGGCTTCTCGCCTCGAGTGGCGCTCCACTTTTCGAGGCCCGCTGGTGCAGGGCCAGGCCCCGCTCTCGGGCTTCTGCTGTTGCCGCGAGGACGGCGCACCAGCGCCCACAGCAGGAGGAAAGCATCCTCGCCATCATTGCCAGTGTCATTAGCAGTACCATCACGGCGCTCGCTCAGAGCGTGGAGCGCGCCACGAGCAGTGCGGTTTGCGGGAGGCTCCCAGGGCGGGCGACCCGGGCAGGCGCCCCGGCACGAAGGCAGCGGGTATCCTGCTGGAGGAGCGGGCCCCCGGAGGGCCCGCCCCCGGGCCCCAGCGGCCGTGCAAGACTTGGCCCGGGCGGAGCAGACGGCTCTGGGGAGACTCCCGGGGTCCAGGACGCAGCTCCGCAAGGGTACCTTTCCCCTCCTGCTACTGCTTCTCCTCCTCCTCCTCCTCCTCCTCCTTACCCTCCTCCTCCTCCTCCTCCTCCTCCTCCTCCTCCTTCCCCTCCTCCTCCTCCTCCTCCTCCTCCTCCACCTCGTGCCAAGCCTTCGGCGTCCAACATCGCTGTCTACAGGGGTTTTCGACGTTTCTCGGCGGCGCTCTCGATATATGATCCAGGGTCGAGGGTTCACGGCCCCCCCACCCCCCCCAGATGGTATGGTCCCAGGATTCCTCGGGCCCCCCCCCCCAGATGGTATGGTCCCAGAGACGACGACGACGACGACGACGACGACGACGACGACGACGGCGACGGCGACGGCGACGACGGCGACGGCGACGACTACGACGACGGCGACGACGACGACGACCACGACGATGACGACGACGGCTGCGGCGGCGACGACGCCGGTGGTGGCGGCGGCGACGACGACGATGACGACGATGACGACGGCGACGACGACGATGACGACGACGATGACAACGACGACGACGATGACGACGACGACGACGACGACGACGACGACGACGACGACGAGGACGACGAGGACGACGAGGACGACGACGACGACGACGACGACGACCTCTGAACCACCACAGCACCACACCACATCCACAGGGGGGGGGGGGAGGGGGGCACCGCAGCGCAGCACCACGCCACGCCACGCCCACTTCTGAACCACCACAGCACCACACCACATCCACAGGGGGGGGGGGCACCGCAGCGCAGCACCACGCCACGCCCACAGGGGGGGGCGGGGGGGACCATCGCGCGGGGGTCCCAATGGCATCAGCATTGGGGGGTGGGGGGCAAGCCCTGGACCATATATACACCACGTCGTTGGGTCGGTCAGGGAGGCAGGGATTTCGGCGCGTGAGTTCGGCGTGCAGACGGCACAGCATCCCACAGCTTTGGAAGCAGGGGCGCCCACATACACCAAACTCATTGGCCGAGCAAGCGGCGTTGTGCATACTTCGAGCCCCACCCGGTTCCCAGACCTCCGGCGGGTGGTATCTCGGCATCCTCAGTGATGTGTTGTTCGATTTCGGCATGCGGGTGGCCGCTTGTGGGCCGTGGAGACGAAGCGATCCAGGATGGGAAAAACGCCCAAGGGAGTGGAGGAGGCGAGAGTTCTGGGGTCCAGGCTCGCGCCGCTCTGACGCGGTGGCGACCCCAGCGCGGGCACTCAATGGGAACACCACCAGTGCGTCCGGCATCGGCCGATATCGGACGATCCGCGCTGTCCAAGAGCCGCGACCGCTCAAGGTTACAAGATCCACGCGGTGGCAGAAACCAACGCCGACGTCGTCACGACATGGGGCTGCCGAATGGACACAAAGAGAGAGAGTCCATCCGCCACGCACGCCCCCGCTGCTGCCTCCAACTCTGCTCGCGTAGCGGCAAGGCATGGAAAACAAACAATAGCATAGCCTTTGAATGGCATGGAATAACAGCCATGCCCCCCCTCCCTCGTGGGGCTGAGTTGTGAGACGGGGCATAGATAAATCGGCGATCACCCAAGAGAGGGCCCAAACCTTATCGACGTGTTCTGACACACGCCAGGGCGACGGCTTTTCTGAGTCTGGGCTTCGGATGCCCCGATCAAATCCTTGGATCCAGGAAGAACAGCGCACGGGCACACGATCCATGTGAGAGGTGTTTCAGATTTCCAGAGCCCTGCCGTGCGATGACAACAACAGGACGAGAATGATGTAGATGAGTCGAGGGGCGACGAGGGGGATGCGGGGGAGAGGAACGAGGCAGCAGCGGCCCTCACTCCAGGCATTTGGCCGTGCTGAGTCATGCGCCACCTCGGTCGCCTCTCCTGGGCACCCCCGACACCCCAGGAGCTGGCGCCAAATGCCACGGCGCTGGCATAGCGCACTCGACCCTGGCGCTGGGCGCTGGTACTGTGCAGCTCACCAGCTAGATTAGAGGAGGGGGGGAGTCGAATGGGGGAGGTTTGGGGGAAGATGGGGAGGACGAAGAGGAGAAGGAAGAGAGTTGTAGTGACGAGGAGGGGGGACAAGGACGAGGAGAAGGAGGACCGGATCAGCGCAGCAAGAGAAGGAAGGTGCGGGGGAGGACGACGAGGAAGCGGCGCAGGATGAGGAACAAACGCAGGAGTAGGAAGCGGAGGATGAACAAATTGGAGATGATGATGATGATGATGATGATGATGATGATGATGATGATGATGATGATGATGATGATGATGATGATGATGATGATGATGATGGTAATAATGATGATGAGGGGGATGGGGGAGAAGGGAGGAGCAGAGAGGAGGAGGTGGAGGAAAACGGAGCGGAGGGAGATGGACACCAGCGCCGTTCGAGCTGCTCGTCAGAGCAGCCGCAGGGGGTGTGAGCAGGCGCGGATGGCCAGCGCGGTATGTACGTCGACGACGTGGCTGCGGCCATCGCCGCCGTCGTCGTCGACGCCGTCATCTTCGTCGTCGACGTCGTCGCCGTATTCCCGAGAGGCCTCGGTCAACACCAAGGTCTTCATGGACATCTGGGAGCGGGTGCACGAGGACGGCGCCTACAGGATACGGCGCGTTGGTGCGCCGTTGTCGGCGACGGCAGCGGCGACGGCGATACCGATGGCGACGCCGATGGCCATGGCTCTCCTTCTGGCACGACGATCCCCGTCAGGGTTACTGCGGTGATTGCGCCAGACAGCTCGGGGCAATGGCGGGATCTGGCCAGCCCGGGCAACCGTCAGGAGCCCCCGCGGGCATCCAGAAGCCCCTAAGACCTTCAGAACCACAGAAAGACCCGCACATACATTCTTCCTCGTCCCCCTCTCGCCCTCCCCCCTCTTCTCCCTCTTCCTCGCCCTCCCAGACGTCGACGTAATGCTTTTTCGCACCGTGGGCCCCAGGAGCTCTCGATACTGTTTCTTCGGTCCGTTCGTCGCTGCAATTTTTTAAAGGCCACGGGGGCATGGGCCTCGGGAGGCCAAAAGACAGGGAAAACTGGCCGTGCTGTGCGTGTGTGATTCCTCCTCGCGTCTGATCTTGGCTGCTCCGCGGTCGGCTCATATCAGTTCTTCGCCGCGGGTTCCGGCTATGTGTTGGCAGCCGCGCGAAGTGGTCAATCCACTCTGAGTGCGTCCCTTCTTGGTGTCTCGCGACCCGCTGATTGCAACCCATCGGCGCGCCAGAAGAAAAGCGAGTGCGTGCTGTGTTTTTCCCTCCTGCCGCCTGCAGGCCGCCCTTCGTGCCTCTCGCCGATGCCGAGGGCCGAGGAGGAGGATCGCCGGCACGAGAATCGAGGGGGACAGGAGAAGAGGGAGGAGTTGGAGGGGATCGGAGAGGAGGGTCGACGGGGATAGAAGAAGACGAAACTTGCACCCCTCTTGATCAGCGGGCACCAGCGAGGCAGGCACCAGTCAAGCGCTGGGAGGGGCGCTCCCCAGGCGAACTGTGGCACCGAGGAGCCGGGCAGAGGAGAAGCGGGACATACAGAGCGGCGGTCAGAACATGAAGTCCTTCGCGCGAGCAAACAAGGCGTGCACGAACAGGACGTCCACGGACAGGACGAGGTCGGGACCGCGTGGGTACGGCGCGTGGGCGAGGCCGAGCACGAAGCACCCGGCAGGGCGACCAGGGCAAGGTGAAGAATGAGTCGGGTAGAGCCTCCGCACGTGAAGTCATGGTGACCAGGCGAGGACGACTGCCCAGGGCAGAAAGTCTGAACCACCAAAGCACAGCCAACGACGACCATGGACAGTAAAAATTGCTGCTGCCAGGAGGGGGACCTCGTTGCCGCCTCGGTGCTGCCTCGTTGCTGCCTCGTGCGTTGGGTTGGTATGGCGAGATTCCGCCACGTTGTCGCTCGTTGCTGCCTCGATGCCGCTTGGTTGCCGCCTCGTGCGCTGGGTGGGTCTGGCGAGGTTTCGCCACGTTGCCGCCTGTGGCCGCCTCGATGCCGTCTCGTTCGCTGGGTGAGTCTGGCGATGATTCGCCTCGTTGCCACCCATTGCCGCCTTGTTGCCGCCGCGTGCGCTGGATGGGCCCAGGCAGGTTTTACTACGTTGCTGCCCGATGTTTTCTCGTTGCCGCCTCGTGCACTGGGTGGGTTTGGTAAGGTTTCGCCGTGTTGCTTTCCGTCGCTGATTCGTTGCCGCTTCTAGCTTGCACCACGTATACTGCATTACATAGCTTGCATCACAGCTTTTACCACATAGTTCACATATTTAAAGTGCAGTCACTTGCCGCTCGGGGGCCACGCTGGCTACCATTCACTGCTTCCTCCTGCTAAGACGGTGAAGGGTGGGGGGCTTAGCGGCTTAGCTGACCTGCACGACTTGACGCCCATCGGAAAGCAGCAGCCTCCTACCACTCACACACCCGTGCGCTTCCCGGCCACAGCCGTCCAGGTGGCGGGGGAAGACATCTCATCTGGCGAGCGGCGGAGAAGGGCTCACGCGAGTCCTCTTCCGCTCCCTGCTCTTTTCGGCAAACGTCGGCTCTACGCCCTCTGGCGCCGTCGTGACCCCCTGCCCAGAACTCCGACGTTGTGTTTTTTTGTTTTGTTTGTCATAACGTGGACCCCCTTTCCCCGAAACCAATTTCTCATTTCGGGCCGTTGTTTAACGGTCCCGAGGCCTGGTGAGGGCCCCCAGACCGTGTTTTGGGTGGTTTCGTGAATAGGGTGGCAATTCCCGCCCTACTTTTCAAGCTCCTTTTATGTCGATGTCCGCCCTATTTTGCCGCCGCTCTTTCCTCCATACTCTTCTGGAAATGTTCGCCCTACTTTTCTGAGGCGGCAATGTCCGCCCTTCTTTTCCGCATCATTCGGAGTGCCTTTCCGACATGCTTGTTGGGAAATCAACCAGCGTGCGGCGGGTCCGGAGTCAGGGGAGGCCGTCAGGGAATATAGAAAACAAGATTTTAAGGCTCGCTGCGCATCACCTTTCAATCTTGTTCTTTTGCCTGGGGTCCACATTTCTTGGAGCACTCGGCTTGCATCTGCGGCCCGCGGGGCATGGACGGACGTGCAGGGTATGGCGCGGTACTGCCGCCCCACGTCTTCTTTGGAGCATCTCGGGCCGTCTTGGGGCGATCTTGGGGGCCTCTTGGGCCGTCTGGGGGCGATCTTGGGTGCCTCTTGGGCCATCTCAGAGCGTGGGGAAGTGGAAAAGTCGAGAACCCTACGTCGACAAAATGGGCCCTCTTGGGAGGCGTCTTGCAGGCCTCTTGGGTTTCTCGGAGGCCTCCTGGGCCGACTTGGAGCCATCTTAGGGCGTCTGGGGGGTCTCTTGGAGCGTCGTGGAGCCAACGGAGGCCGTCTTGAGCGCTCGTGGAGCCCTCTTGGGCCGTCTTGGGGCCCCGTTGGGCCTCTCAGGGGTTGTCTTGGGAGCATCGTGCGACGATCCGGACACCCTCGGGGGGCCTTCTGGGGCGTCCGAGTGGCGCTGCTGGGCCATTCTAGCCATGATGACCCCCATTCGGGGGGGGCTGTTCCCTTCTAGTATGAAAGATAGAGGAAATGGAACAGGCACACGAGGGCCTTCTTGCGGCACGTATTGGAAAGAAGCAATTCAACTGGTTTGTTTCTCTTCAATTCCCGACCTAGCGGTTTCGCCGTACAGCGGTGTTTTTTCATTGCGGTGCGCTGGAAGCGGGTGCTGGGTTGGTGGAAGGGCTGTGGAGTCCTGCGAGGCAGTCGGAAGTGATTCCAGTCCCTGCCGAGACGCGCGCGCAACCTCACGGACGTGCGGTTCAAAAGGCGCGCGAGGCAACGGCAGAGACGCTCGCGGCAGATGGGGAGCTCTCACGGCTTCACAGAGGGCCTCTTGCCGGCCGCGGCCGGTTTCTTGTTGATGGTCTTTTGGACCGTGGGCCCCGCAGCTGCGGGCAGCTTCGAGTGGAGCGCGTCGCGAATGGCGGCGCCGGGCTTGCAGTCGCTGGTCGCGACGATGGTCGGGTACTTCGTGGCGAGCTCGCGGAGGCCCTCGGTCAATAATCTTCCGCATAGGTGCATGTGGTCGAACTTGAATAGCTGCTGTCGGTACCACCACATCTGCGTCAATTTGGTTCCACTTGCGCTGGTCACATCAGTGCTCCAGCCGTGGCCTCCGGCCGGGAACCGCAGAGGCTAGCTGAGCGGTTCGCGCACAGGACTCAGGGGGTGCAAGTATTCGGGGTGGTCCGTCTGGGCACGGCGGAAGGACGCGATAGTTGCGCTTGGGCGACGGTTCGAAATCGAGGATGCCGGCGACTTCGTTGACGCCCTCGTGCCATTCCAAAACGAGTGCGCCGTTAGACGTGGGAGCTCTGGTTCTGGCCACTTTGGACGGTACGCATGTGCGCGTTCTGCGGGAAGATGAGCCGCTCCAAGTCCGCGAGCATCTTTTTGGGCAAGCCCAGATCCTTTGCCGCGGTCGCCCGCACTTGCGGATCGACAGTCAGATACCGCAGCAGTACGGAATCGGCTGCGGAGAAGACCTTACTGCACATGGTGCCGTGAATTCGGATGTTGCTGGGCCGCAAAACGCCGCCGAAACGCATTTCTTTGTCAGCTCCGCCGCTCTGAATTTCATGCTGCGCCGACGCGAACATGTTGTTGGATCGGCGAGACAGTGCGCCGAATCCTGTTCGCAATGCTGCGCTGGACTGGGCGCCGTGCAGGACAGTCCCAGCGTCGTCTTTCAGCGGCCAGCGCTCGAGGAAGATAGCTTTGAGTGCGTCGTCGGGCATGGCGAAGAGGGAGTGGCGTCTAATGCGAACTTGCCTCCGCTGCAACAGAAGCTCGTAGTCTCTGCGCGGTAAAGATGTGCTCCTCAATGCTGGCAGACTGGCCCATGTCGCCGAGGCAGAAGGAGTCGTTGCGCAGGCGCCCATTGGGGTTGCAGCAGGTGTAGCATTTTGCTCGAGCGCCGTCTCGGCATCCTACCGGAAATGATGTCCACGGCAAAACGCCGCCACATTGTGTGCAGCCCCCGGTGCGAACTGCGCGGCTTGCCCCGCTGCGCTGCGAGGCATTAGCAACGCGAATTCTACATGTCCGCACGGCCTGCCACGCCTGCTTGCTCGAGTTAGCATCTCGACGGGGGGCGTTGCTGGCAAGCGGCGCGCTGGAGTGCATTTGGTTTTGGAGGCATGTCTCCAAGGACAGATTGGCTTGAACCCGACTGACATTCAGTGAGGAATGGGTTGGAGGTCGTGAACTTGAGGCCCCCAAGGGGTGGGCATTCTAGAATGGCAGAAAATAGAACGCGCTTCTTTTGAATAGAGAGGGAGGGGGGAGGGGGAGAAGGGGAACGAACGGAACGACGACGACGACGACGATGACGACGAGAACGAGGACAACGACGATGACGACGACGACGACGACGACGACGACGACGACGACGACGACGACGACGGTCGGCGCTGCCGTTCCGGAGGTCTCTGAGAAGCAGGTTTGAAGCATCTTTGGGGCCGTTTGGGCCGTCTTGGATGCCTCTTGGGTTGTCTTGGGGCCGTCCGGTGGTGCTCTGGAGTCGTGTCGGGGCCGTCTTGGCGCTTGTTTGGGCTGTCTTAGAACGATATCCGGGGCCTCTCAGGCCGTCTTGGGGCGATGTCGAGGGTTTCCTGGGCTGTCTTGGGTTGTCGGAGAGCGGAAGAGGGAGAACCTTGGAATCCGTCTAACAGTACAAAACAAAAACATATTAATTGTGCCTGTTCGGGCTCTCCTGGGAGGCGTCTTGTTTCTTTTTGTTTTCTCGGAGGCTTCCTTGACCTTTTTGGAGTTTTCTCAGGGCGTCTGGGGACCTCTTGGACCGTCGCGGAGCCAGCTGAGGCTGTATTGAGCGCTCTTGGAGTGGAGCCCTCTGGGCCCCCCTGGAGCGCTCTTGGAGCCCTTTTCGGCTTGTCTGGGGCACTCTTGGGAGCATCGCGCGCCGATCCAGACACCCTCGGGGGGCCTTCTGAACCGCCCGGGTGGTCCCCCTTGGCCGTTCTAACCACTGCGACCCCCGTCCCGGGGGGGGTCTTCTGTAATATGAAGGATTGAGGAACGAAGTGCAACACCCGATCTGATGAGGTAGATGCACAAATCATGCCCATGCCCTTGGCAGCCCACTTGGCGTACTCGCCGAATGTATTGGAGTCGGATTGGTCAATGCTCCGAGGAATTGCCACATGTGTTCCGACGTGATTTTTTCATGGCGAGGGGAAGTGGGGGTCCTCCCCCGCCCTCTTCCCGCTCCCTCCGCGCCTGTGGTGGTCGCCGCCTCTGCGCCGCTGCGCGCGCGCCCGCGACCTCCGGCTGGCGAGGAGGCACGACTGGACGGTGAAGGCGGACGCCGCTGGGGAGGGGGTGAGGGGAGGAGGGGGGGGGGAGGGGAAGGGGGAGGGGGAGGGGGGCGCAGCGATCAGCTGAATTAGGAGCGACCGAGTTAAGTGGAAGAGGGGCGGCCGTTTCGGGCATGTGAGATCACGGCAGCGGGACGGGAGCAGATAGATCACCCAACAGTGAGAGGCTACCCGTCACCCGAGAAGGGGGTCATCAAGAGCTTGACGGGGCCCTCAGGTGGGCCTGGTAATCCACCCGAGACCCCAGCACCACCGCTTCATCCCACCACCCTCATCAAAACTAATTTCTTCACAAATGGCGAACACGCCCCGTCGATGTCGGCGCGCCCTTCAATGTCGGCACGACGCCCCTCCAATGTCGGGGCCAGGGCAAAGGTGGTCTGACCAGGAACGACTCGGAAGCTCGATGATGACCGACATCGGAGGGGCGGCGCATACAAGTACCTCGCAGTCAGCGCTACTCGTACCAGTATTTTCTCGAAAACAATTCGGCCACGTAAGCCGTTTTCGATGCTAATTTTGACGAGAGTTGCAGGACAAACTAATATGCGCCAGCCCTCTTTGGAGGTCGGGCCGTGGGCCCGTTACTTCCAGGGTTAAGGAGAGCGGGCGGAGTATGGACGGCCTCCGTACGCCTCCCAACACCAGCAACTTTGAAGCCTCGTGAGGCCTTGATTCCAGGCATCAAACCACGGGGCCCAAGAGGGAGAGGGGGATGTGAGGGGAAGAGGGAGGAGATATAATGGAGGAGGGAGGGGGAGGCGAGGGGAGAGGAGGGGAGGAGGGGAGAGGAGGAGAGAGGTGTGGATGGGGGGAAGGACCGTTCCCTGGGCGTCTTGAGCCACCAGTGCGGCAGCTCTTGTTCCGCACGCCGCCTTGCCGCACTGGCGACGAAGCCGGGCTGTGCGCTGCGGAGGGGGCGCGCGACAGGTGGGAGACGGGGAATGGAGAACAAAAAAAGGTCTTGACGCACACCGCAAGCCTCCCATCAGCAGGCTGTTCAGACCTGCTGGGGATGATTGCCCGTCAACACAACTATCAGTGTATCTTACAAAAGGTCATGCAACGGCCGTGCAGTGAATTTATGTATGTAAAACCAAAAGAACGCAACATGAGCTCTTAATACGTATGGATACTTTGAACACGCTTAAAACGCATGTATGGTTCTACGAATTCACGCGCCGAACATGGAAATATCACTTGTGCGACTGCTTCACTGACTCATGCATTGAAACCTCTCTTGTCCCATGGTCAAGCAGGTGGCCACCACTGTACTTCCATCTCTTGATCCATGACCATGCGCGGGGCGCGCTGCCGATTGCTGGCGGTGGCGCCCCTGCTGCCTTCGAGGTGGTTTCATGGACAGCTTTGCTCACGTGCTTCGGCTTAACGTTGGGGCTCTGTTCTAGCCTTCCCAAATGCAGAGACATCCTGAGAGCATCAGTATTAGGATTTTCAGGGAACAAGAGTTTTGATGGATCCAGTCGCCGAGGAAGGCCTAGATCTCCCCCGCCTCTCAATCATCTGAGACGTTAACGCGGCCTGCCAGAGGTAGTATCATCCGTTGGGACCAGAACGGATGGGCAACCCGCTTTTCTCCCAAAAGGTCCGGAAACCTTACGGTCTTGAACGATTTGGCCAGCAAATTTATTTTGGCAGTTGGTGGTCATGAGCGGACGGCCTTTTAGTCTCTGGCATTTTGTGCTCAGTGTGGGTCCACGGAACCGCTTCGGGGAGCGTTACATTATGTCTCATCATCATCACCACCATCCTCCTCCTCCTCCTCATCATCATCATCATCGCCGTCGTCATCATAATGCTCCACGTTCTGATTCTGAATCACATGATGGGGTCACTTGGGGGACCCATGTGCGCTAGAACACCCCTTGGCGGACAGAGACACATCCGCACAATGTGAGGAGATTGGCGGGAGAGGTAGGACGTGAGATATGGCGCACTTGCCGACCATGTCCTTGCCCCTGTCTCTCTTTCCCCTTTCTCCTTTTCTTGCCCTTGCTCTTGCTCTTGCTGCTCCTGGAGGGGGCACGCCCCCGCGCGGTCCTATGCGCGCGAGCCGCACCCGGATGCCAGCGGTGCACGCGCCCTGGAGTCTCTGGTTCACGGCTCCTTCTGCTTCTCCCCATCGTCCTCCAGATGTTCTTTTGAAGCGCTGTGTTTCCGTAGCTCCGAGGTCGTTTTTTTCACAATCTCGGCCCCCGCAGGCCTGCACCCATTCCCCAGGACGGGTTAATCCTCCCAGGCCATTTCGGTCACGGTCCTGGAGGGTCCCTGGAGGCCGAAAGCAGCGAAGAAAACGGCCGTCGTGATTTTATCACGACGAGGCCCTGACTCGGGTTCCCCCGCGCTTCTCTTCCCTCCTCATCCTCCTCCTCCCCTCCTCCGTCCTCCCCTCCTCCGTCCTCCTCCTCCTCCTCCTCTCCTCCGTCCTCCTCCTCCTCTCCTCCTCCCCCCTCCTCATCCTCCTCTCCTCCTCAACCGCGGCGCCTCATGGGCCCCAGGCCGACAGGGCGCTGTGATACTAGCTCGAAGGTCTCAGTTTTGAGCATCGTGGCGAGAGGCTGCGGGCGAGTACTGGGGTACGGGGGCTTGGGGTCAGGGGGCACTTCGCCTCGCCAGGCCACCCATTCCATATTTTTTGTTCGACGGTTCTCCGATTTGCAAGTGTACCAGAGATGCACCCCAGACGATGCGCAGAAGTAGGGCGGACATTGCTTCCGCCTCGGAAGAGTGGGGCGGATAGTTCCGCAAAGGTACGTTGGGGGCGTTTGTTAAGGAATAGTCCCAGGATGCGCCAGACCCTGGAGGATTCCTTATCCAATGAGGGCGGCGGTGAGATCCATGGCCGATCCGCGATTGGAGTTCCACTGGCTTCCAGACCCTGAATTCCTTATCTAAGGGTTCCTTATCCAATGCCCACACCGTATGGCAGAACCACCGACGGCAAAGTAGGACGGAGATCGACCCCAAAGGAGCTTGAGAAGTAGGGGTTGGAATTTCCGCCCTACTTGCATAATCGCCCTAAGTCCGGCGGATCTGGAAGCAGGGGGGGGCCAGGACCCCGCCTGGAGGGGCTGACGTCGGCGACCCTGACTCCAGATCCGTTGTATTTCTTACGCGAGTTCGCAAATAGGGCAGACAATTCAGCCCTACTGTCCAAGCTCTTTTGATGCCTATGTCCGCCCTGTTATGCCGTCGCTGTTTCCGTTGTATTTCTGCGGAAATATCCGCATTATTGTCAGAGGCGCAGTTTCCGCGTTGGTTTTTTCGCACCGTTTAGGGTGCATGTCCGACACATGTGCAAGTCGGAAATTCCACAGTTATTACGGCGCACGCGGAGTCAGCGGAGAGCCCCCGATCGGCGCCCCGCCCCCCCGCTCGCCCTCTTCCGAGGCGGACGTCGACGCGGTGTTCTTCCCGCACCGGTTGCGGCAGCGGCTGTGGGACTTGAGGCCGTCGGTGGGCAGGCCCCCCTTGGCCGCCGCAGCCACCCTCGCCCTCGCCTTCCGCTGACTCCGGGGGCCCTCACTGGGCCTCGGGCCCGTCAAAGAATGGCCCGAGATGGGAAACCGGTCCCTTGGAAGCGGTCGACGCTGTGAAAAGACGCGGCGTCGAAGGCCTGGGGAGGAGAGAGGTCAGTTCAGGCCACGACGGCGCAAGAGGGCGTCAAGCCGACGTTCGCCGAAGAGCGGGGACCGGAGGAGTGCACGCGTGTGCCCTTCTCCGCCGTCCGCCAGATGAGATGCCTCCCCGAGGGCGCTCCCCGCGCCAGGATGGATCCTGACTCCGGATCCGCCGAACTTTGGGCGATTTCGCAAGCAGGGTCGAAATTTCCGCCCCACTCTTGAAGCTTCTTGGTGCCGATTTCCGCCCTACTTGGCCGTCGTCGTTTCCGCCATACATTTGCGGAGATACCCGCCCTACTTATCAGAGGCGGAAATATCCGCCCTGTTTTTTCGCATCGTCTGGGGTGCATGTCTGACACCTTTCAGTCGGAGAATCAACTAATGTATGGCGGATCCAGAGTCAGGGTCGCTCCCCTCGTCGTCGTCGTCCTCCTGCTCCTCATGCTCCTTTTCCCTCCGCTTCCCCTTCCTCCTCCCTCCTCCCCCTTCTCTCGCTACAGTGGGGGCTCGCATCAAGAGACTTGGTCATCATAGGTTTGAAAAGATTTGCGATGAGAGTACCCAGGGCCTCCCAGACCCCGAAGCCGTCAAACTCCTTCAGCTCCAGGGTGCCCAGTGTTTGGTGATTCGAAGAAATAGTGCCAGAGGTCCGCGGTCATTATTCGACGAGTGGATACCGTTTTAGCGACCCAGGACTGTGAAGCAACGATTCAGGATGAAAAGCCAGGCCCAGGGAAGCGGGCGAGAGCTTCAGGGACTGGCGATTCAAAAAATCTGATCGTCGGAGGTCTGAGCACGCGGCATGGATCTCTCGCGGAGGTGTCTTGCGGCCGAGGTGCCGATGTGCCTCTTCCATAGCATTCTCGCCCTCTGCTTTTTCTCACCATCCTCGCTCTGTTGCTCCTCCTTCCTCAGCCTCCTCTCCGTCCAGCCCGGCACTCGTGAAGAACAGCGACTCCAAGCATGGATTCAGGGGCGCCATCGAGATTCTCAACGCGATGGCCGTGGACATGCTGGTGCAGAACCAAGGAGATGGTGAGTTGAAGATGACAGAGGGAACGACGATGATGATGGTGATGGTAATGGAGGCGATGGTGATGATGATGATGAACATGATGATGATAATGATTATGGTGCTGGTGATGATGATGATGGTGATGATGATGACGATGATGATTGTGACGTAATGGCGATGATGATGATGGTGATGTTGATGATGCTAATGCTGATGCTGATGATGATGAGGATGAGGATGATGATGAAACTGGGAGTAGGATGAGGATGAGGACGAGGGACGAGGATGGTGATGGCGATGATAATGATGGTGATGATGACTGTTGTGATGATGCTTGCTGTGATGATGGTGATCATGGTGATCATGATTATGATTATGATGTCGGAGATGATGATAAGGACGACGATGATAATAATAGTTGTTGATGATGGTGCACATGATGATGTTCAGGATGAGGATGGTGAGGGCGAGGATGAGGATGATGATGATGATGATGATGATGATGATGATGATGATGATGATGATTCTCATGATGATCATGATGAGCATGCTTATGATTACTGTAGGGTGAAGACGAAGATGGTGACGATGCTGATGATGATTTTGATATGACGATGACGATGGTAAGCTGGTGCTGATGATGAACATGATGATGCTCGGGATCAGTACGGTAAGGGTGATGATGGGGATGATTGTGAGGATGATTGTGATGACGGTGATGGTGATAGACATGGTGATGGTGATCGTGATGGTGGTGATGGTGTTGGTGATGGTGGTGATGATGATGATGATTTCGATGGTGATGGTGATGGTGATAAGGAGGGGGACGACGACGACGACGACAACGACGGGTAGCAGCACAACTGGCAAGGGTTGCGCACAGGCAGCTCCCAGGGGTACAGTCAAGACGCTGAACTGAGGAATGCGTAGTCATGTTGGATCCAGCTTCTGGGACCGAAACCAAGGACAGTTCCTCGAGTCTTGAACCCAATTATAGCTACGCTCATTCCCAAATAGTGTTTTCTCTTAGGGACTCTTACTTTTGCTCAAAAGAACTAGGTCGTGTCTTCGGTCTGGCTGCTATGTGGCCGCCATCGCCGCCCCGTCGCCGCCTCGTCGCCGCCCGTCGTCTGGGCCGTGTCTTCGGTCTGGCGGCTATGAGGCCGCCATCGCCGCCCCGTCGCCGCCTCGTTGCCGCCCGTCGTCTGGGCCGTGTCTTCGGTCTGGCGTCTGTGTGGTCGCCATCGCCGACTCGTCGCCGCCCTAGATTCTCCTTTATTCTCCTTTCTAAAACAGAATAGGATCTCCCCCCCCCCGGCGTTATCGGTCCCCCTTTCGGGTATGTGAATCGTTCATGATTCTGACCACATGTCCATCCTAAATATGAATTTACACTATCCCCGGGGGGCCGGTATCCTCCCCCCTGAGGTTCCTTTCTGTAAAAAAACACTATGTGGTGACATTTTTGGTTCTAACATCGCACTTTTTCAATAATCCCTTGCAAAAAACGAGACGAAGTGCACACGCGCGCGTCGTCGCGCGCGCGTGCCGAAATCCTTCAAAAACCTCCAGTGCCGGAAGGATTTCGGAATCGAGTCTCCAAAAAAACATACAAAAACACAGGAGTTCGCAACACTGATTTGCTAAAAAAGCTTCCGCGCGAGCTCTTGCGAAATTTTAAGAAAAACATAGGTTTTTCAATATTTCCACAGAATGCTACCCAACGGGCTTCGCGCGCGCATGTCGAAATCGGTCGAACGCCCTTGCGCGTGTGCCGTCGCGAGAATCCTTTGCAAACAATGGGACGAAGTGCAGACGCGCGCGTCGTCGCGCGCGTATGCCGAAATCCTTCAAAACCCATCGGTTTCGGAAGGATTTCAACATCGTGTGTCCAAAAAACCTACAAAAACACAAGGTTTCGCAACACGGATTTTCAACAAAAGCGTGCGCGCGCGCTCTTGCGTCGTCGTCGTCGTCGTCGTCGTCGCCGTCCTCCCTCCTCCCGCGTCGTCGTCGTCGTCGCCTACGTCGTCCTCTGTCTTTCCTCGTTTTCGTCGTCATCGTCCTCTTTGGCGTCGTGGTCGTTTCCGTCGTCGTTGTCGCCGTTGTCGTCCTTCCTCCTCCTCCCTCGTCGTCGTCGTCGTCGTCCGTCGTCGGCGTCTCGTCGTCGTCCCTCCTATTTCGTCGCCGTCGTCGTCGTCGTCGTCGTCGTCGTCGTCTTCCCTCCTCCCTCGTCGTTGTCGTCGTCGGCGTCGCCGTCCTTCCTCCTTCTTCGTCGTTCGCGTCGTCGCCGTCCTCCCTCCTCCCTCGTCGTTGTCGTCGTTGTCGTCGTTGTCGCCGTCGTCGTCCTTCCTCCTCCCTCGTCGTCGCCTTCGTTGGCGACGTCGTCGTCGTCTTCGTCGTCGTCGGCGTCGGCGTCGTTGTCGTCGTCGAAGTCGTCGGAGACGTCGTCGGTGTCGTCGTAGTCAGTGTCGTCGGTGTCGTCGTAGTCGGTCTTAAGAGGTTTTGCAAACCAAGTTGCGGGTGGGTGGGTGGGATGTTTGCGCGAGCAGTGGAGATGACGACTTCAAGTTCAGCAGAGTGGCTAGAAAGAAATAGACTCTACCCCCCCCTGGCGTTATCCGCCCCCCTTTCGGGTATGTAAATCAAATATGATTCTGACCACATGTCCATCCTAAATATGAATTTACACTATCCCAGGGGAACCGGTATCGATCCCCCTGAGGTTCCCGCGTAAAAAAACGATACGCGGGGACATCTTCTGTTCTAGCTTAAGACTTTTTCGCGAATCCCTTGCAACAAAAATGCGACGAAGTACACGCGCGCGCCGTCGCGCGCGCATGCCGAAATCCTCCAAAAACCCTCTGAGTCGGAAGGATTTCGCAATCGAGTTTCCAAAAAATATACAAATACACAGGGTTTCGCAACACTGATGTGTCAAAAAAGCTTACGCGCGAACTCATGCGAAATCTTAAAGAAAACCATAGGTTTTTCAATATTTCCACAAAATGCTACCTCGGCTTCGCGCGCGCATGTCGAAATCTGTCGAGCCCTTTGCGCGTGTGCCGTCGCGAGAATCCTTTGCAAAAAATGGGACGAGGTGCAGACGCGCGCGTCGTCGCGCGCGTATGCCGAAATCCTTCAAAACCCATCGGTTTCGGAAGGATGTCAACATCGTGTGTCCAAAAAACCTACAAAAACACAAGGTTTCGAAACACGGATTTTCAACAAAAGCGTGCGCGCGCGCTCTTGCGTCGTCGTCGTCGTCGCCGTCCTCCCTCCTCCCGCGTCGTCGTCGTCGCCTACGTCGTCCTCTGTCTTTCCTCGTGTTCGTCGTCGTCGTCCTCTTTGGCGTCGTGGTCGTTTCCGTCGTCGTTGTCGCCGTCGTCGCCCTTCCTCCTCCTCCCTCGTCGTCATCGTCGTCCGTCGTCAGCGTCTCGTCGTCGTCCCTCCTATTTCGTCGTCGTCGTCGTCGCCGTCGTTGTTTTCGTCGTCTTCCCTCCTCCCTCGTCGTTGTCGTCGTCGGCGTCGCCGTCCTTCCTCCTTCTTCGTCGTTCGCGTCGTCGCCGTCCTCCCTCCTCCCTCGTCGTCGTCGTCGTTGTCGCCGTCGTCGTCCTCCCTCCTCCCTCGTCGTCGTCTTCGTTGGCGACGTCGTCGTCGTCTTCGTCGTCGTCGTCGGCGTCGGCGTCGTCGTCGTCTTCGTCGTCGTCGACGTCGGTGTCGTCGTCGTCGCCGCCGCCGTCGTCGTCGTCGTCGTCGTCGGCGTCGTTGACGTCGTCGTCGTCGTCGTCGTCGGTGTCGTCGTTGTCGTCGGCGTCGTCATCGTCGTCGTTGTCATCGTCGTCGTCGTCGTCGGCGTCGGCGTCGTCGTCGTCGTCGGTGTCGTCGTCGTCGTCGTCGTCGTTGTCGGCGTCGTCGAAGTCGTTGGAGACGTCGTCGTTGTCGGCGGCGTCGTCGTCGTCGGCGTCGGCGTCGTCGTCGGCGTCGCTGTCGCTGCCAAGTGCCATTTGGTACCCACCGTCACGGTCTTAAGAGGTTTTGCAGACCAAGTTGCGGGTGGGCGTGTGGGATGTTTGCAAAAGCATGTGGTGTGTCAAATCATGCGTAAAAAACAATTGCACCGCGTAGTTTGCACCACATAGATTCCACAACATGTAAATCGTGCACCGCATGAATTTCACATAAAGATCGACAACGGCCGTCGAAAGCAAGTCGAAGTAGGCGGCTGCAGACCCTCCTCGCGACAGCCCTGCGGCTGCAGAAGGCGGGCGATCTCGGCATCGCGCATGTGCTTGGGCGGGCCCCCAGGATGGGGGCATAGTCGAAACCGATAGTAAGGATGGTAACTTTCCCAAGGGTGCCCTTGCATCCTTGTCTGCGCAGTCCATCCTCAACCACTTTCGAAGGCCAGCCCCGTTCGAGAAAACCTCGACATGGGCGTCCAAAGGGCTTGCGTCCTTATCGGGCATTCTTACTATCAGTTTTGAGTCTATCGCCCCTCGGCGATCTGCTTGATTTTCTGGCCCCCCCTTCTGAGAAAGCGCGCGTGGGCCGACCAGCCAACGCGGATCGGCAGCAGCAGTCTGTCCACGGGCCGTGCGAGAGGTGGAGGAACCATTGTCCCAGAAGCTCAGCTTGTGAGAGGGGCCACCCTCTTACTCGCAACCACCTGGGGGCCCGATGCTTTCGACGGCACGATGCCGTCGCCGCAGGGTCGAGAAATCCACTGGCTGAGGGACGCTTCGCGGATGGAGCTATTCGCTTCCAAAACGGGAGCAGGGCGGACAGAAAGCAGCCGGGCCCGATACGCCGCCACTCATGGGCGGAGACTTGCAGGGTTCGGATCAGCTAGGGCACAGGAGGCACTTCGGGGCGCTCGGGCCGCGACGAATGTCCGCGAACTGGTTTGGACCGACTTCTACAAGAGTTCGGCGGATCAGCGCGGTTTCGGCGTCTCTACGGCCAGTCCCAGGAACGAAGCCCACGAGAAACTGGCACCACCCCGCCTAGGCCGCTCGGCCCGCGAGGAGGTTGGCACACTCTTTGCCGGCCGCCCAGAAGGCATTCTTGACCAACGTCGGGTTGAGCTGTCCACCCGGATCAATCGGATCGACCGGATCGGTCCGGTTCGATCGGATCGATCCGGTTCGACGTCGATTCCGGCTGCCCTGATCTGATTCGAGAACCGGATAAATCTATCTCGGGGGCGCCCACACGGGCGTAGATGTTTTTCGCCCGGGTTGGTTTTCGCCCGGTGCGTTTCGCCCGGTTTGTTTCGCCAGGTTTGCTTTCGCCCGGTTGGCTTTCGCCCGGGTTGGCTTTCGCCCGGGTTGGCTTTCGCCCGGGTTGGCTTTCGCCCGGGTTGGCTTTCGCCCGGTTGGCTTTCGCCCGGGGTGGCTTCCGCCCAGGTTGGCTTTCGCCCAATTGGCTTTCGCCCGGTTGGCTTTCGCCCGGGTTGGCTTTCGCCCGGTTGGCTTTCGCCCGGGTTGGCTTTCGCCCGGTTGGCTTTCGCCCAGGTTGGCTTTCGCCCGGGCTCGTTTTCGCCTGGGTTCAGCTTCGCCCTCCTCTTCCTCTTCTCCTCTTCCCTCTCCTGTTCTTTCATGCTGCTGCTGCTGCTCCTCTTACCGATCCCGACCCGACCCGACCCGCCCCGCCCGTTAGGGTCCGCCCGACCCGACCCGACCCGCCCGTTAGGGTTCACGCGTGCTCACTCGAGCGCGCCCCACACCTCAGCGTCCCGCCCGCCCGACCCGACCCGCCCGACACTTTAGTGTCCCGCCCGCTTCACCCGACCCGCCCGTTAGGGTCCGCCCGACCCGACCCGACCCGCTTCGCCCGCCCGTTAGGGTCCGCCCGACCCGACCCGGCCCGCCCGTCAGGGTTCACGCGTGCTCACTCGAGCGCGCCTCCACACTTTAGTGTCCCGCCTGCCCGACCCGACCTGCCCGTTAGGGTCCGCCCGGCCCGAACCCGCCCCGCCCGTTAGGGTCCGCCCGACCCGACCCGACCCGCCCGTCAGGGTTCACGCGTGCTCACTCGAGCGCGCCCCACACCTCAGTGCCCCGCCCTCCCGACCCGATCCGCCCGTTAGGGTCCGCCCGACCCGAACCCGCCCCGCCCGTCAGGGTCCGCCCGCCCGACCCGACCCGCCGTTAGGGTTCACGCGTGCTCACTCGAGCGCGCCCCACACTTTAGTGTCCCGCCCGCCCGACCCGACCCGCCCGTTAGGGTCTGCCCGACCCGACCCGACCCGCTTCGCCCGCCAGGGTCCGCCCGACCCGACCTGACCCGCCCGTCAGGGTATATGTCAGGGTTCACGCGTGCTCACTACACCTCAGTGCCCCGGCCGCCCGACCCGAACCCGCCCGTTAGGGTCCGCCCGACCCGAACCCGCCCCGCCCGTCAGGGTCCGCCCGGCCCGACCCGACCCGCCCGTTAGGGTTCACGCGTGCTCACTCGAGCGCGCCCCACACTTTAGTGTCCCGCCCGCCCGACCCGACCCGCCCGTTAGGGTCTGCCCGACCCGACCCGACCCGCTTCGCCCGCCAGGGTCCGCCTGCCCCACCCGACCCGCCCGTCAGGGTTCACGCGTGCTCACTCGAGCGCGCCTCCACACTTTAGTGTCCCGCCTGCCCGACCCGACCCGCCCGTTAGGGTCCGCCCGACCCGAACCCGTCCCGCCCGTTAGGGTCCGCCCGACCCGACCCGTCCCGCCTGTTAGGGTCCACGCGTGCTCACTCGAGCGCGCCCCACACTTTAGTGTCTCGCCCGCCCGACCCGACCCGCCCGCTAGGGTCCGCCCGACCCGGCGCGACCCGCCCCGCCACGCCAGCGACGGCGGCGCCTGCTTTTGCCCCTGAGCCTGCCCCGCCTGCTCCCCGCCCGGCCCCGGCGAAAGCCAACCCCGGCGAAAGCCAACCCCGGCGAAAGCAAACCCCGGCGAAAGCAAACCCGGCGAAAGCCAACCCCGGCGAAAGCCAACCCGGCGAAAGCCAACCCCGGCGAAAGTCAACCCCGGCGAAAGTCAACCCGGCGAAAGCCAACCCGGCGAAAGCCAGCGTCGGCGAAAGCCAACCCCCGGCGAAAGCCAATCCCGGCGAAAGCCAACCCCGGCGAAAGCCAACCCCGGCGAAACGAAGCCCGGCGAAACGAAGCCCGGCGAAAGCCAACCCCGGCGAAAGCCATCCGTGCCGCCCAAACGGTGTGGTGACCACGCCGTGTGGTGAGTCAGTGGGGATTCGGGGTCACCGCACGATTTGGGATTTGGGTCGTCCTCTGAGGATGTCTCGGGCGATCCTGGCCTGCAAGGTCCCCGAACCCGTGTGGCGACGGGCTGTGCGGTGTGGTCTCCTGGAACGTCGATGTAAAAAATCTTGTGCCACGACACCGTCTTGAGACCCCCAAGGTAAATGCCACGATTCGACGCGGCCCGATGCTCGCACGGCGCAGCTGTGCGTCCTGGCGCGGCCGATCCGATCCAGTTCCGACTCCGACGCCATGCCGATGCGGCCCGAGCCGCCGCACAGTCCGGATGTATCCGGTGTCCCGATCTGATCCTGACCGATCCTGCCTCTTGGACCCGCCCCCTCTCTGTTTCGGGGGGTGGTCCCGACCTCGTCCGAGGGCTCGCCCACGTTTCGAGCCTCCCGTGCCGAGGCCAAGGGGCCCAGGGCACCAGGCTCCTTGACAGGAGGAGAGCTCGGCTCAGCTTGTCTTCGGGCGTTGCGCACTGGGGGGGCGATACGTGTGTGTGTGTGTGTGGAGAACGGCGCGCCTCCTGTGCCTTAGAGGGATGCTGAAGGGCCCCCCCGGGGCCCAGCAGGGGCACATATGCGGTGCACCTTCCCCGCACCCCCCTCCCCTATCGCGCCCCCGTAATCAACGCCCAGTGTCTGCCCCCTGCTGCACGACAGATCACGGCGGGTGTGGTGGCACACCGCCAGCCTCTGCTGGGCTTCTCCCGCTCCCCTCGCTGCCCTGGCCAGGATCCTGCTTCGAGGAGCTCGGCGAGGGCACCGGCGAGGACTCCTTCGTCTACGGCTGCCTCAACCACTCGCACGGGGTCGGCCGCCCCTCGAGCCTCCAGCCGCCGCGAGGGAGGAACCTGGCGACCGGCTTTCGGGGGAGCCTGGCTCTCTCCTCCTGCTTCCTGCTCCCCCCCCCCAGAAGAGCTCCCGCGCGCCAACAAAAAGCGATGCGGAGGTATTTCGCCGCTCTGGGTCCCCTTGGGGGGCCCTCGCAGAGCCCCAGGACCGTCAAGAAACTACTCGGAGTGATTACCAGCCTGGCACATACCCCTATACTTATGCTTGGCATCACGTTACCTCGGTGCCGATCTTAAGAGTTCCCCCAGTTTATGAGGGCCCGTCCCCAATCTTGTTTTTGCCTTTTGGCTTGTCATTCTTGGGGGCAGGGACAAGCTCGAGACTGGTCAAGTGAGAAGCTGACCCCGGGGAGAGGGCTGGTGCTTCCGGGGAGCCCGTGTTGAGGAAGTCCTCTGCGGACGGACGGCGTGTGCGCAGCGTGCCGCGCTGGAGCCTCTCGAGTCTTCGTCGACCCTCGGCCCAGGAACTTGGCGGCGCGCAGAAGGGGGGTATGGGGGAGGGGGGAGGCGTCCTAGAAGCACCCCTGCTTCTTAAGAGGCGCTGGCCTTCTCTATACATGTAAGGCTGGAGTCTTCTAAGTCATCGTCTCTCGGCACTCAGACGAAGAAAACTATGCACCGAACCGCGCTGGGGCGGAGCCTGAAAGGAGTCCAGACATGGTGCTGTCGGACCGAGGTATGAGATCGAGGTCGGTTCTGGGAGGGGGCCCTCGTGGTCCTCGTGCTTGTAGCATGTTCTCGTGCATCCTGGGGGAGGCCACCCTCGAATGTTCTTAAGTTCGGGCCAGTGGAGGGTCTCATGTGCTTGAAGGATGTTATTATTTCCTAGGTCCGACTGCACGGTGCATGCGCTCCGCTGTCGTAAAAGCAGTGCTTCGGATCTTGGGGCCTCCCCCTACTGCTGCTGCCCGCCGCTCGCCCGACCCCCCCCCGCGTCCGCCGCTCTGGCGGGCGCCTCCTGGTCTCCCGCTGCTTCTGCTCCTGCTCTTCGGGTGCCCCCTTCCCTTCCTGCTCCTGCTCCCCATCCTCTCTCAGCGAAGCACGCTTGATCTTCACTGGCTCCTGGATGGCACAAGTGGCAGAGAGTGGAAAAGACCTCGAGCGCCACCCCAGAGAGCAGCCGCAAACCTCAGGGAGGAGGCGCCGTCCTCCCTGTTGGAATGCTTGGCAATTGCTTGTAGGTTGAAAAACGCTTGCTCCTCATTGTGCATTCCGTGTCTGCTGCTATCGTTGTAGTCGGGCCACGAGTTACTTCGTTTGTCAAGGTTAAAAGTGGTGAGCCTGGAGCCATCACTCCTCCTGGTCCTGAAAATGTCTTCCGGGGAGACGCGGGTGAGCCCAGGGGAACCGCGGGAAGCCCCAGAAGCTTTGGTCCGAGAGGCTCCAGACCCTCTAAGAACTCCGCAGGGGTGAGGGCTGAGGCTCAGAGGGGTAGTGAGAGGACCTGAGGACACGTCCACTCCGTGCCCAGCCGCGCGGTGGCGGACATGTGTATTTTTTTTGAGGGGGGGACGAGCTACACCGATCAAGCCGGACACGGCGAGAAAGCAGAAGACGGCTAGGAACAAACGCATAAGAACACAAAAACAAACACACACCAAAAAGGCGAAACATTAGAAAAAGGCGAAACTCCGAAAAGCAATAAAAACATAAAAAGGCGAAGCAGGCGACACCAGCAGCAAAAAGCAGAAGAAGGCGGAACATGTGGAAACGCAAGATATTCAAACATGAGGAGGAAAACGAAATAGACGAAATTTGCGAACACGCTTGAAACACATGTTTGGGGAAAGAAGCGAGAAACAGACAACCCAAACAACTAAAATGACGAAACAGTGCGAGAATGGCGAACAAGCAGAACAAGGCGACAAAGCATTTAGAGGCGAAGCATCAGAAGAAGCTCAACAAGCAGAGCAACCATAAATAGCAGAAAAAGCCCGAAGACGAAAACGGTGGAAAAGGCGACAAAGGCGAACACACAGAAAAAGGTAAACAATCCGAACAATGCGAAAAAGGCGAACAAGTCGAACACGCCGATCAACCTAAAACGCCAGAAAGCGTTTTGTGAGTTGTTTTGCTGTTGTAAGTGTTGCTGCTGCTGTTGTTGTTGCTGTTGCTGTTGCTGTTGCTGTTGCTGTTGTTGTTGTTGTTGATGATGTTGTTGTTGTTGTTGTTGTTGTTGTTGTTGTTGTTGTTGTTGTTGTTGTTGTTGTTGTTGTTGTTGTTGTTGTTGAATACTCCTTTCGAAAGAATAACTATTGCGGATCTCCAGAAACGGTTCCGCGCGCTCTCGCCTCGACGTTGTTGAATACTCATTTCGAAAGAATAACTATTGCGGATCTCCAGAAACGGTTCCGCGCGCTCTCGCCTCGACGCGGGCTAGATTTTCTCTGAAAGCGAGGCTCCCGCTCGAGCGTTGGGTTGAGCCTAGATGTGGGCCCTTGGAGGCCCAGCTACGACAGCAACGGCTCCCGCTCGATATTTCTTCACAATTTACCCCGAGACACCCTGGCCAGAGAGGCCCCCGAACTCAGGAACGGCGCTCTCGCTCGAGATTTCCTGGCAATTCAGGCAAGTTGGTGGAGGCACAGCCGCGACGACACGGGCTCCTGCTCGATACTTCCTCACGATATACTCCGATAGCCGGCCAAGAAGGCCCCCGAACTCAGGAACGGCGCTCTCGCTAAAGACTTTTCCGTAATTCAGGCAAGTTGGTGGAGGCTCAGACACGGCGACAATTGCTCCCGTTCGATGTTTCTCCATAAGTATTCCGGGAGCCCTTGGCCAAGGAGGTCCCCGAATTCAGGAACGGCGCTCTTGCTCGAGACTTCTTCGCACTTCAGTCAGTGACGACAAGGAAGAGATTCCCCCCGAAAGGGGGTGCAATCGAAGACGACATGGGCGGGTATCGAGGGATGGGGTATACGGAATGCAAGACACGCGTGCCAGTAAGATCGAACAGTCTTAAAATGATTGTGGTTGAATGTGAATTACTAAACAACTATTATTGTTGGAACCCCCCAGGCGCTTTGACGCTCTCGCCTCGGCGCCGGCTACATTTTCATTGACAATGAGGCTCACGCTCGAGCGGTTTGGGGGGGCGCCAAAACTGGCCCTCCAACAACAAAGCTCCCGGTCGAGACGTCCTCCTTTTTAACTCAGGGCCAGTACCCGTGCTCGCCGCCAAAAGCCGCCGTCCCAACGAAACCAGCGCTACCGCTCGAGACTTCCTCCCGTTTTACCTTGGACTGGCGCGCTACTCTTTCTCTCATCGGCGCCGCCCCCAGCAACAACAACGCCCCCGCTCGAGACTTCCTCCTGCTTTTTCGCTGGATACTCTTTCTTGAATTGGCGCCGTTCCCAGCAAGAACAAGGCTCCCGCTCGAGGCTTCCTTTTTTGTTCCTCAGGACTGTGCTGTTCCTCGCTTCCGACAGCCCCCGCCCCGACAAAACCACAGCTCCCGCTCGAGACTTCCTCCCTTCTTACTCACGGCGGTGTTCCTCCTCGCCGCCGACAACCGCCGTCCCAACAAAACAAGCGTTCCTGCTCGAGATTTCGTTTTGTTTTACGCTGGACTAGCGCCCTACTCTCTTCAGCATTGGCGCCGCTCCCAGCAACAACAGCGGCCCTGCTCGAGACTTACTCCCTTTCTATTCAGGGCCAGGTCCTTGCCCCGCCGCGGACAGCCCCCATCCCCACCAAGCCAATCCTGTCGCTCGATACTTCCGTGTGCTTTACCCTTGGCTGGGGCTCCACTGGCGGTCTCGCATCGGCGCAGCAAGGCGCGGGCCTGCGTTTTCGAGGCGGGATATGTTGAAATTCCTCGGAGGAGGTGTTTGCAAGACCTGCGGATATCTGGGAATTGTAACAACGGACCCCGCTAGAGAACAATAATCCCCCACGATGGGGATGGTTATCATGATGGTCGCCTGCTTCGTGTTGAAACATCGCGCATGAGGGAAACATGGTTGTTGTTGTTGCTGTTGTTGTTGTTCCTGCTTGTTTAGCTTGTTCGTAGTTGTTCGTTGTTTGTTGCTCTCTGTTTTGTCGTCTGTTTAGTGTTTCGGCTTTTTCACCTTCCTTGTCTTGTTCGCCTTTTTCTTCTTTCATGTGTTTCGCCTTTCCCGCTTTTTTGTTTTGTTTTGCCTTTGTCGCCCTTTTCACCTTTTTCGCCAGTTTCGGCTTTTTCTGCTGTTTCGCCTTTCGCAGCAACCTTCGTTTCTTTGCCCCCAGCTCCCTCCTTTTCCCCTCTCCTTCTCCCTCCCCCCCTCGGTCATGAGCTGCCCCCGCCTGCGACAAGGAAGGGCAGCGGGGTGACGTCGTGAGGGCGGGCTCCCCCTCCGGCAGGCAGGCCCTCAATAACAACAGGGGGTCCTGCGTGCGTATCGTTACCACGCAGGGGTCAAGGGCTTTCCCGTCGGCAGGACTGACGACCCCCAAGAGCCCTTCTTTTGCCCTCACATGCCTTGTCCTCCTCCTTCTCCTCCTCGCACCGGCGCGGCGCGCCGAGGTGGAGCAGGTGGGCGCCAGAGACCTCCTCAGCGACCAGCTGTCGCTGAAGGATCCGAGAACAGGGGAGGGGCGGGGGAGGGGCGGGGGAGGGGAGGAGGATCCAGACCCGCTTGCGTCGTGAAGAACAGCACGACTCAAATGTTGTACATTAGTTGTTGCAGCCCGGGGCAGGGACGGCAAAGACAACGATTCAGGATGGCAAGCCAGCACGATAGAAGACAAATTTAAGTCCCCATGCAAGAGGTCTGCAGCTCAGGGGCCGGAAATTGAAAGCATCACATCGTCAGATGTGGGGGCGTGCGGTAACAGGTTATCGGTAACCAAGAAGTGCACATTCTCGCAGTGAGGGGGATCCGCTCGCGCGAGTCCATTTCAAGTCACACGCATGCTGGCTTGCTGGGTCCATTTCAGTTCCACCAGAGGTTGTTAACTTTCCACGTGTCCCGCAATCGCCAACCCGTCGACTGGAGTCATCGGTGGGTCGGATGAAAAGTGTGCGTGCGTGGGGGGGGAGAGCAGAAGGAGGAGGAGAGTTGGAGGAAGAGGCGGAGGAGAGAGAGGAGGGAGGGGGAAGGTGGGTCGGGAAGAGGAGGCGGAGGAGGAGGAGGCGAGTGGAGGAAGAGGAGGAGGAGGGGGAGGATGAAGGTGGGTCGGGAGGAGAAGGAGGAGGCGGGTTGGTGGTGGTGGTAGTCGTTGCATAAGGGAAACAAGTTTCGAGCAGCGCAACGCGCACATGGACCACGACTACGCCGACGCCGACGCCGACGACGACGACGACGCCGACGATGACGACGACGACGCCGACGACGAGTGACTTGAGGCGCACTTGCGATCCGCACCGAAGCGCGGATTTCAGAAAAAGGGCGCCCCCAGCTGCACATCCTGGTGCACAGCACATCGTTCTGCGTTGCTGCGCCCCCCCCCGAGCACAGCCTCTGAGCCGCAGCCAGACATTTCGGGTTTGCTCCTCATCCCTTGCTGAGCACAGGGGCGTGTTTCGGTACCCTCTCCTTCAAACCCGTCAGGATCGCCAACAATGGAGAGAACGGCGGAGGCCGACATCCGAGAAGCTCGAGCGCCGGTGCTCAGAGAGCCGAAAGGATAGACGGACGGACGGACAGCAAGACGATCTACAATGCTCGGCAGGCCAAGGGTGTGGTCACTGCATAGGAGTAAACAAGTCCCGCGCAGAGCAGTATGCACCAAGACGACGGCGCCAACAAGCAGGAGGAGGACGAGGACGAGGATGAGGGAGGAGGGAAGGAGGGAGGGAGGAGGGCGGAAGAGAGTGCGGGAGGGAGGCGCGGGATGAGGAGGAACAGGAGGATCCGGAGGAAGAGAAGGACATGTTGAGAGCCGTCTTGGGGCTATCTTCTGCGACCTCGGAGACCATCTTGGACTACCCTGGGTCACAGTGCGGCCGACCGGGGGGCCCCCTGGACCTCCAACCAGCACTTGTGAACCCCTGGGGAGGATTCGTCAGGGGGCAACGTTAGGGAGAAAAGGCTCAGGGGGAACACATCGCGCATCGACCCCCGATCGCCCATTCATTGCCGATAATGGTCTGATAGCCCACCCCGCCCAGGATGTCCCGCTATCAAGAGCCTATCGCCGATCTATCGGCGACTTATCGCCGACCCCTATCGTCTCTTCTTGCAACGGTGGGGCGGGCACATCCAAACATCTCGGGCACTCTGGCAGGAGGGGGGCCCTGCAAGTTTATTAATCGTATCCACGCGTCATCACTGTCGGCGCCATCGTCTCCCTCACCGCCATCGTCTTTACAGTCAGGACGCTGAAATAAGGACTACTTGGGGCTCATGAGGGGCTCTAGCTTTCCTGCCGCTTCTCAGATCTACGTCGGGGAACTTCTCCGTGGCCGAGGCTCGCTGTGGCCAGAAGAGCCTCTGCGTTCCTTATTGTTCAAGAGGCTTACGCCATTCCGCCGACCCCCAAGAGGAGGGAGGGACACAGCAGTTGTCTGGTGGCTTTTGTTTTCCTTTGCATTACGTCATGTGCGATTGTTCTGCGCTGTTTGTTTTCTTGCTTGTTCTCTCTCTCTCTCTCTCTCTCCCTATCCCTTCTTTCTCTTCTCTCTCCCTCTCTCTCTCTCTCTCCCTCTCTCTCTCTCTCGATTGACTCCCTTCACCACTCCAGGCTCTAGGTTCCAGAATGCGGTTCGCGAGTTGCCTCTGAGGGGCCTCTCGGAGCTGTCTTGGGGGCATGTGGGTGGCTTGGGGAGCCTCTTTGGGGCGCCTCGGGGGCCTCTGGGGGGCTCTCGAAGCCATCTTGTGTGGAAAGGCTCGAAACGTCAGTTCGTATTGCCCCTCTTGCACGCCTCTTGGAGCCTTCTTGTGCCGTCTAAGGGGCCCCTGGGGCCGTCTTGAAGCCCTCTTAGGCAGTCTTGCGGCCCTCTTGGGGACCTCATGAGCCTTGTTGGGACGATCTTGGGGGTCCTTTAGGCTGTCTTGGCCGTTGTCAAGGCAGAAAAAACGACTATGTCAAAATACGTTGTCCTAATAATAGAAAGAGCGTGTTCTACCGCTGCTGGCGGAAAACCGGGGGGGGTCACTACCGGTTCGAACCCCTCCCCCCCCCCCCCTCCGGAAAACCGGGGGGGGTCACTACCGGTTCGAACCCCTCCCCCCCCCCCCCCCAGCTCATCATGAAAAGGGGGGGGGGTCACTACCGGTTCGAACCCCCCCCCCCCCCTCGAAAACCGAGTGGGGGTGCGGACAGTGGTGGGGACGGTGTTGGTGGGGACAGTGGTGAGGGGACAGCGGGACAGTGGTGGGGACAGTGGGGGGACAGTGGGACAGTGGTGGGGACGGTAGTGGTGGGGACAGTGGTGGGGACAATGGTGGGAACAGGGGGGACAGTGGACAGTGGTGGGAACGGTGGTGGTGGGGACAGTGGTGTGGGGACAGTGGGAATGAGGTGGAAACACTGGGACAGTGGAGGGTACAATGGTGGTGGAGACACTGGTAAAGGCGGTGGCGAGGACGGCGGTGGGACAATGGGACAGAGGTACAGTGGGGACAGTGGTGGGGACAGTGGGGACAGTGGTGGAAACAGTGGGACAGCTCAGTGGGACAGCGGAGGAGTCAGTGGGACAGTGGGGACAATGGGGATAGGCAGTGGTTGGGTCCGTGGAGACAGTGGGGAGAGTGGAACCGTGGTGGGAACAGTTGTGGGAACAGTGGGGACAGTGCGACAGTGGTGGGGGCATTGGTGGGGACAATAGGGACGGTGGTGGAACCAGTGGGGACAGTGGTGGTGAGGACAGTGGTGCTGGGAACAACAGTGGGGGATGTGATGCGAGCGGTGGTAGGGACCGGGAGTCGTTTGCTGGCGGTGCGTGGGGGGGGGGTCGAACCGGTAGTGACCCCCCTCCGGTTTTCGAGGGGGGGGGGGGGGGGGGGGGTTTCCAACCGGTAGTGACCCCCCCGGTTTTCGGATCCGGGGGGGGGGGGGGGGGGGAGGGGTTCGAACCGGTAGTGACCCCCCCGGTTTTCGAGGGGAGGGGGGGGGGGGGGGTTAGGGAGGGGGGGGGTTTTGCCGGGAGGGAGGGGGGGGGGGGGGAGGGGTTCCGGCAAGGGGGGGGGGATTTTCGGAGGGGGGGTGGGGAGACCCCCGGGTTCCGGAGGAAAAGGTTGGCAATTTTCCACAGTGAAGCGGCGGTGGATCACGCTCTCTCTAATAATAGAATGACATGATTTGTGATTCTTACGACCCTCTCGACGGTCCTCTGGGAGCTCTCTTGGGCTGTCTTGGAGACCGAGTTGGCCATCTGGAAGCCATCTTGGACCGTCGTGGGGCTACCCGGGCCGTTTCGATGCTTTCTTGGATTGATTTGGCGCTCTGTCTGGGCTCTCTGGGGCCGTCTCGGGGCTTGTTTGGAGGCTCCGGAGGCCCCAGGGGCGCGTTGACGAGTTCGTATCCCCCACCCCACCCCGACCCCCCCTCAACATGGTGTTGGATCCCACGGGAGGAGGAAAGGGGGAGGGGGACAGCCAAATGTCTCGCACGCCTCTTCTACCCTGGCAGGCGCGGGTCGGCGGATATGGTAGTACGATGTATCGTCGTTGTGATATTGGATCTGCGCTAGGCGCCCCTGGCGGCGCCTCCAGCGCCGCCCCTGCAGTTGAGGCGGGGGTCCAGCACGGGCTGAATTAATCTTCGCGGGCATCCGGCATTTTATGCTAATGCATTTCTTTAATGCTATTCGATCCCTAGCAGTCTGGACGCTCTTCGCGTCGGCGACGCCCACCTCTATCCACCCCAACCTCCTCTCGTCGCGAGCGAAAATGCGACGGGATGTTGTTGGCCGTTTTTGGCCTCGGGGTCCTCATTTGGTCTCGGGACCGTCAAACAACGACCCAGGATGAACATCCAGTCCTGGGAAAGAGGTCCAGACTTCTGGAGGTCGAGGTTGTGACAAATCGCGGCGTCAGAGTTTTGGGAGCCCCCACTCCCCCCTCACCAGAGGATGAGGCGGAGGAGTAGGAGGAGGAGGAGGAAGAGGAGGAGGAGGAGGAGGAGGAGGAGGAGGAGGAGGAGGAGGAGGAGGAGAAGGAGAACAAGGCAAGGCGCACGTCGCATCATCCCGCAATCCGCTACTACTGGTGGTACTGGACGCAACTTTGTGATGGGTGGTCAGTTTTGGTTGCTACCTCCCCAGATGCTGGTCCTTGTCCGTCCCCAGAGGTTCCAGGAGGCCTCTGGAGGCCCCCCAAAGGAGCAGAGACGTCACCACATGACCGACCGAAGCGTCCAGAAGACTCCCTCCACGATCCTCGAGGGCCCGGGGCAAAACTTGGGCAGGGGGAATGCGCGCCGCTCGCCAGAGAGGCACAGTCAAACCGCATTAGTGGAGGGTTTCTCCGAAGGGCTTAGGAGACCCGTCCTCCTCCTCCTCCTCCTCCTCCTCCTCCTCCTCCTCCCTCCTCCTCCTCCTCCTCCTCCGCTCCTCCCCTCCTCCCTCCCCTCCTGCTCCTCCTCCTCCTCCTCTCCTCCTCCTCCTCCTCCTCCCTCCCTCCCTC